ACTGTCCTTCAGCTCTTCAGCTCAAGGCGAGCGCTCTACCACTTGAGCTACAGTGCCACTTACGGTTTTCTGGTGGTTTACTGGAGATAGGAGTCTCACGGTCTCTCCTGCCTGGGCTGGCTTTGAACTGCGATCCTCAGATCTCAGCCTCCTGAGTAGCTAGGATTACAGGCGTGAGCCACCAGCGCCCAGCTGGGATTTAAAATTTTTGACAGTGTTGTTTTTAAAAATATTTCTGATTTTGTTCACTATTTTTTCTCTGTAATTACAGTGCTATTAACATATTAACTGAGAAGAGACAGCTAAGATGAAATTTTTTGAGAATTTGTTTTCTTTCCATTTTTTTGCAGTAATTCCACGCAGACCTGTTCTCGTTCAAGTAATTTTCATTGCATGTACATCTCTCAGCATTGCCCTTGTATGTGGCATTTTGGTCTTCTATCTAATACAGTAAGTTTGTGCCACATAATGCTGGCCACCTTTAAGTGCCAGTACAACAACTTTGCTAGGGAATTATTTGGTGTCAAAGGATGGTGACGGGGGGGGGGGGGGCGCGGGAGGGCTGGGAAGGTGGCTCAGTGGTAGAGAGCTTGCCTTGCAGGCATGAGGCCCTGGCTTCAATTCCTCAGCACCATTTAAGCAAAAAAAGAAAAAAGCGGCGCTGTGGCTCAAGTGGTAGAGTGCTAGCCTTGAGCTGAAGAGCTGAGGGAAAGCACCCAGACCCAGAGTTCAGGCCCCATGATTGGACCCCCCTCCAAAAAAAGGATGGTGACGATGCTTATAATTGCTAAGTTATTATAATATGAATTTGCTGTCCAGCATTTTTCAAAATGTATATTGAACTTAACTTGAGTCATGGTATAACAGGAAATAAACAGGACAGAATAAAATTTAGTAGACTAGAAAACATCAGGAGCAAGTGTAAAACCCTGGCCTTTGGGAGACTGATGTCATTATTCTTCACACACATTTTCAGCTGCTTTAGTATTTTTTGGAAAAGAAAAATCCCTTAACATTTAGAAGCACTGTTGGATTCTGCCTTTATTTATAACATTGATATTTGACTTATTGTAGATTTTTGCATTTGTTTCAGATTTTTATAAAAATATTGAATTAAAATATTTTATTCCTGGGTGTTTGGAGGACCCCTTAGGTTTCTGACCCAAGGCTACATCTGTCTGTGTCTGTCTGTGTCTGTCTCTGTATGTCTGTCTCTGTCTCTGTCTCTCTGTGCCTTGGTTTTAATGTTTGTGACCAGGCAGTTCTTCTCACCTTGCTGCATACTTCTGGATTGCCTTTCCCTCTTTTCCATCACTGCTCCTTGGAATACAAATAAGCTAATCCTAAGAGAATAGGAGTGTGTGTGTGTGTGTGTGTGTGTGTGTGTGTGTGTGTGTGTGTATTTTAGCTGTCACGCAGACCTAAGCAGGTAGGACTATCAGCAAAATGTAAAACACTAGCATCTACTTCGACACTAAACAGAAAAAGCCGTTCGATGAGCCACTTTCAGGACGGAACCCACAGGGACATAAGCAAGACACCACTTCGGGTGTGTTGACTCAGTAATCAGGATCAATACTAGTATAGCACTTAAATTTTAGATTAGTAGCCAGGCGGTGGTAGTTCACTCCTGTAATCCTACCTAGCTACTCTGGAGGCTGAGATCTGAGGATCGCGGTTCAAAGCCAGCCCAGGCAGGAAAGTCTGTGAGACTGTTATCTCCAATAAACCACTAGCAAACCGAAGTGGTCCTGTGGCTCAAGTGGTAGAGCACTTGCCTTGAACTGAATAGTGTAGGGACAGCACCCAAGCCCAGAGTTCAAGTGACTGACCAAAAACCAAAAAAAAATTTTTTTAGATTAGTGCCAAACAGTATCCACCATGAAAAGAGTCAACATTTTTTTTTTTTTTGGTCCGGTCATGGGGCCTCAAATCTGGGCCTGGGCACTGTCCCTCAGCTCTTCAGTTCAAGGCTAGCACTCTACCACTTGAGCCACAGCACCACTTCTGGCTTTTTTGTTTTTGCTTATGTGGTACTGAGGAATCGAACCCAGGGCCTCATGCATGCAAGGCAAGCGCTCTACCACTGAGCCACCTTCCCAGCCCGAGGGTCAAGATATATTGAAGTCTGAGCTAAAGGAAAAGTCAGTAATACCTACCTGTATTTATTTAAAATGTTTACGTTTTGTTCATTATGGATTTCTGGGCTATTATTATGTTGGTTAGGGGGCTTGAACTCAGGGCCTGAGTGTTGTCCCTGAGCTCTTTTGCTCAATACTAGCACTCTACCATTTTGAGCCACAGCTCCACTTCTGATTTTCTGGTGCTTAATTGGAAATCAGAGTCTCATAGACTTTCCTACCCGGCTGGCTTTGAACCATGATCTTCAGATCTTGGCCTCCTGAGTAGCTAGGATTACAGTCATGAGCCACTGGCACTCAGCTTAATTTTTATTTTTAACATATTACATTGGAATATGATTTGGCTTGATTGTGGAATCATTTTGTCAGCTTCTTAAATTTTGTGCCCTATATGAGTGAGTCATTCACTCCAATTCTGGCTTTGATCCATTCCTTGGAAGCAACTTATTTCTTGGCAGAAATTGTTGACCAGCTTTGAAAATTGAGCTCTTCTATGTTTAATGTGACATAAAAGTATTTCTTCTGGGTGCCAGTGACTCACTTCTGTAACCATAGCTACTCAGGAGGCTGAGATCTGAGGATCAGGGTTCAAAGTCAGCCTGAGCTTTATTTTATTTTATTTTTTTTGGGTCCAGTCGTGGAGCCTGAACTCTGGGCTTGGGCGCTGTCCCTCAGCTCTTCAGCTCAAGGCTAGCACTCTACTACTTGAGCCACAGTGCCACTTCCGGCTTTTTTCTTTTTGCTTATGTGGTGCTGAGGAATTGAACTCAGGGCCTCGAGCATGCAAGGCAAGCGCTCTACCACTGAGCCACCTTCCCAGCCCGAGACTTACATCTTTAACCACCAAAAAGCTGGAAATGGAGCTTTGGCTCAAGTGGAAGGGTGCCAGCTTTGAGTGTAAAAGCTTGGGGATAGCAGCCTGGCCCTGAGTTCAAGCCCCCACCAGTATACTCCCTCTCTCTCTTCCTCCCTGCCCCCTCTGTTTTCCTTCACCTACCATCATGTACAAACCATTTTTTTTGTCAGTTGTAGGGCTTGAACTCAGGGCCTGGGTGTTGTCCCTGTGTGTTCTGTCACTTTGAGCCACAGCACCACTTCTAGCTTTCTGGAAGTTAATTGGACATGAGTCTTACGGACTTTCATGCTTGGGCTGGCTTCAAACCGTTGTTCTCAGATCTCCACCTCCTGAGAAACTAGGTTACAGGTGTGAGCCACCAGTGCCTAGCTCAAACCATCCCTTTTTGGTCAGAAAGTCTCATAATTAAAGCCTGACTATTCCTGTAAACTGCTCCTGAGTTCATCTATATTCTCCTCTAGTCTACTGGTGAAGTCAGAGGAAAGCCAGCAGCTTGCGATGCTCTATGAGAATGTGGAGATACCATTCTTGGGCGATGAGAAGGAGGGCTCTGAGGACGATGGTCTGGAGGAGTCTGCTCACCTGCTTCCTGAGAATGAAAAGGAGCTGGGAAAGTTCATTGGTTCAGGTAGAGAACACTTTGGCTTGTTAGACCCAAGGTTACAAGACAGCTCAATTGGCAATAATGAATGGCTTGATTTTCAAAGATAGTAATAGGTGAGATAAGATACTTATTTGTGCCTCCACAAATGTATCTGTTTTCATACAATCAAACAAGGGGTAAACAGATTGGTTCCCTAATGGAGGACAGTTCCAAGGATTAAGGTAATGTTTAGGAAACATTTTTCCACAGTGAAGCTTTCCTTTACACACACTTGTTCTTGTGACATTATTCCTGCACTTAGAAAAAAGACAGGCAGTGCTGGGAGATCACCTGTGTTTGCTACCATTCCCAGGAGAAAAAAAGTTGTTTTTTTTGTTGTTGTTGTCAGTTGTGGGCCTGGGCGCTGTCCCTCAGCTCTTCAGCTCAAGGCTAGCATTCTACCACTTCAGCCACAGTGCCACTGCTGGTTTTCTGGTGGTTAATTGGAGATGAGTCTCACAGACTTTCCTGCCCAGTCTGGCTTGGAACCAAGATCCTCAGATCTCAGCCTCCTGAGTAGCTGGGATTACAGGTGTGAGTCACTGGCGCCCGGCAGGAGAAAAAATTTGTATATTTGTAAAGCTTGAATACAAGAAGTGGGAAAATAATTTTAAAATTCTTTGTCATCTGGGTGTGGTTGGCACACGTCTGTTATCCTAATGCTTAGTGGCCCAGGCAGGAAGAATGGGTTTGAGGTCAGCCTGGGTTACACAGAGACCTAATTTCAAAAACCAAAAATAAGGAGGTGGAAGTGAGGGTCAAGTTAGTAAAGCACTAGCCCTGAGTAAAAGAAAAAAATGTAAAATCAAACAAAAACCTGTCACCTGTCAAACAGTAGTCATGATCTCTGGCAATCCTATTGCTTTTGTCTATGCTTCCCCCTTCCCACTCCTTTTGTCTTCTATTCCTGTTCTTCCTTTACTATCATCTCAATAACACAGTCTCTGCATTTTAGTTATTAGAGCAAAAAGGAGAGAAAATAGCATAAAGAAGAAATTGAGAGAACAGCAAGCTTTACCGACGCAAAGTATAAAGAATGACATTTACAGTGGAACAATGGAAAGTTTGTGAGGGAGATGCGGGATGTGCCAGCAGAGGCGGAGGGAACAATTGTAGTGATAACAGAGGATGGAGAACATGAGCAAGACTGGCTCCCAGAGAAGCACTGTACAGAAAGAAGCGTCGGAAGGATGTGACAGAAAATAAATATATATAATATGGCCCGGGCTGCTTCTTGGCGCTCATAGACCTCAGCTGGAAAACAGAATCCAAGTCTTTTAAAGGTGAAAGAGAAACAGTCAGGATTTTCTTCTCTGGTTTTGACTAGAAATTCAGATAATTTCTTTGGCCAGTCCTCCAGACTGTGCCAGCAAATTTCTTTCATTAAACAAAACTTTCCCAGTGATATTTCCTATTGACTACATTTATATGACTTAGAGGTCCCATTTATGCTATTAGTGAAAATGGATTAGGTTGACTTAAAAATGAGGCTACCAGTTGCTTGGTGGCTCACGCTTGCAATCATAGCTCCTCAGAAGGTTGAGATCTGAGGATCATGGTTCAAAACCAGCTCAGGCAAGAAAGACTGTGAGACTCTCACCTCCAGTAAACTACTCAGAAAAAGCCGGAAGTGGTGCTGTGGCTCAAGTGGAAGAGTGCTAGCTTGAGACAAATAGGCTTAGAGACATCGCCCAAGTCCTGAGTCCAAGGCCCAGGACTGGCAGAAAAAAAAATAATGAAACTAGACTCAGATCTCCTGACTTTTCCTTTGTTTCCATCCTTCCTAAATTAAAATGAAAAAAAAAGAATAGGATGTAATATGGGAACAGTGGTGCTGTGAGCTAGATGTTGGGATAGTTCAAGAAAGCTGACAGCTTGCATCTGCTTGGTACAGCTGGGAGAGGACCTTCTGGTGGATGGGTGGACACTGTGGGAGTTGGGGCACTGTGCCAGAGTCACACTCTTACAGCCTGGACCCACCCTCAGTGCTTCTCCCTCAGCCTCCTCCCCCCAGGAGAAAGCCACACCATCTCTGAGACAACAGTCCCAGCCCAGGAAGTCTCTCAGAGAGGCTGCTAGAACAAATGACATATGGTGGGTGACTTTAGGAACAAGAGAGTCCTTACAGTTTTGACAACCAGAAGTCCAAGATCAGGGTGCCAGCTTGGGTGGATTCTGGTAAGGGGAAAGAAGGAAGAGAGAAGAGAAAGATTTGGGTGGACACAGGGTTGCAGCACTTGCATATATATGTATTTGTGTATATGTGCATGCACACATGCATACTTGTAGTACTGGTAGTGCTGGAGTTTGTGCTCAGGTTGCTTGGCAGGCACTATACCACTTGAACTGTCCCCAAGCAGGGAGGGACCACAGTCTGGCCAGCTTGTTGCCATGGGTTTCACTTCTTGCTCTGGCTGGCCTGGGGCCTCAGTCCTCCCAAACTCCATCTCCCTGAGCAATGGCTACAGGCCTGCAAGAGCAGCTGCTTCAGTAACTCCCTTGCTCTCCTTACCCACTTACAGATGCTTGTTGAGAAACAGCTGCCTCATTTGAGAGACAGTGTGGCAAGGCAGGTGAAAATATTTATCAACAAATAATAGCATTCACAGGAGACTGAGATCTGAGATTCTTGAAGCCAGCCAGGGCAGGAAAGCCTGTGAGACTCTTCATCGCCAATTAAGCACCAGAGAACTGGAAGTGGAGCTGTGGCTCAGAGTGGTAGAATGCTAACATTGAGCAAAAGAGCTCAGGGACAGCACCCAGGCCCTGAGTTCCAGCCCCACAACCGACATAAAAAGCAAACAACTGATGAAACAATAAAGGCAAGATTTAAAAAGAAAATGTTGCAGAAGAGAGGGGTAACTCTTAGATGCAAGTAATGCAATTCATAAATCTCAAAGCTAGTATGAATTTTCATACTTGTACTTTAATAAGATGTAACATTCTGAAATTACAAAATCAGTTTTAAAGTATATTAAAGTTTTGTTTTCTCAACCGGTGGGCACATGGTGGTCAACACCACAGTAGTCATTCAGGAGTCCTTGCCTTGGAAAAGCCTAATGAATGTGGAGTAGGTGGGAGAACCTACAGTCAGAGCTCCAGCCTCAGTATCCATCAAAGAGTTCATACCAGAGTCCAACCTTATCAGAGTGGAGAACGTGGGAAGTTGTTCAACAGGAAATGTGACCTTGTTACAGGCCAGAGAGTCCAAACTGGAGAGAGGCTTTACCAGTGCAGGGAGTGTGAGACGTCCGTTATCAGGCCTTGTAAGTGCGGTGACCCGAGCAGGGGTGGGGGGAGACCGGGGAGCCGTGCCCCGGTGGTTCCGCAGGGCGGACCATCATGGTCCCAAGTAGCATTAAGCAGGTTTTTTTTTTATTATTATTATAACGGCGATGTGCAGTTACAGTTGCATCTCAGGTCAAGAGTGCACTTCTTTTGGGACACTGTTACCCTCTTTTTCCCTTCTGTCCCCATCCACAAAGGGCGTTTTTCCTCGTAACCTCTGCTGGCCGGCGTCATTTCAATTCCCCCCCCCCCCCCGAACGCCGCTGGTGCTGTGTGAACTACATTTCCCTAAATGCAACGCGCCAACGACGGGCGAGACGAGCCAATGGAAGCCCTCGAGGGCTTGGGAAGGGGCGCTCCGCCCGGCGGTGTTTACCTGTCAGAACGGTTCCGGCGACACCGCCCCCGGCGTCGTCAGCTTGGGCCTCACGGGGCGCCCGTGCCGGGTGGGCGGCCCGACCCGTCCTCGCCGCCCCGGGCCGTGGGCGACCCTCGACGGGGCCCGCGCCCCGGCCACACATGGACCCGGCCCGGTAAGGGGCCCCGGGGATGTCGGGCGCAAAGCCCACGTCCGGTCGGGTGACCGTGGTCATGGCAGCTCCCAGGAAGGGAAAAGGCTGGCCAGGCTCTGCCGTGCTCCCGCCGCGCTGCCCCTCTCCACGCGTGACCGCAGGTGCGGTAGCGGGGCGCTGCAGGCCTATGGGTCAGCCGCTGGCTGGAAGCCACAGGCTGCCTGGCTGCCATCTTATCGGATGGGGGATGGGGAAGGGGGCGGGGCTAGGAGGGAGCGGAGCCACTGTTCCACGCCGGGCGATCTTCGAGGACACTGCGTTCCCTTCTCCTGGGAAGCAGACCTGCCTGCTTTCAGCGTGCCTCGATGAGGGGCCCCTTCCCGCCCCCCTTCCCCAGGAGAAAGCCCCTCCCTCCCCCCCGTTCCCGCCCCCCTTCCCCAGGAGAAAGCCCCCCCCCCCCCCCCCCCCGTTCCACCCCTTCTCCACTCCATCTCGGGAGTCTTGCTGTCAGCATCCCCCGCATCGGTCCTTCTCCCCTCTCCCGCACCCCCACACTCCATCTCCGGAGTCTTCTTGTTAGCGCAGGGGCCTTGTCAGGGTGGTGACTAGATCTGACCACGTCTGGCCTCTACACCAGCGCCGTCCCTGTCCTTGGTCTCCACTGCCTGCTCTGCGCTGTTTTTGATTCAGCTTTATTGTTATTAAGGTGTTGCACACTGGGGGCACCCTTTTGGACAGCGTCGACTCCTTCACTTCCCCAGTTCCCTGCCAAGTTGCCTAATTCATTTTCTATGTAGTGCATGATTGCATTGTCCTCCCTCTCTCTTCACACCCTTTTGATCCCTGTAAAAAGCAGAAAAAGGAAAGCACCGTGCTTTTTTTTTTTTTGATCATGGGGCTTGAACTCTGGGCCTGGGTGCTATCCCTGAGCTCTTCAGCTCAAGGTGAGCGCTCTACCACTTGAGCCACAGTGCCACTTACGGTTTTCTGGTGGTCTCATGGACTTTCCTGCCTGGGCTGGCTTTGAACCCTGATCCTCAGATCTCAGCCTCCTGAGTAGCTAGGATGACAGGCATGAGCCACTGGCTCCAGCTTGTGCCCAGTTTTGAGTGAAGATTGAGATACATATATGTTCCTAAATTAGTTCCATTTGAATTAGTCTTGAACTGGCGCCTGCAGCCTCCCCAGCCTGGATGTAGCCTGGATGTGTCCTCAGTGGACACCAAGGAAACAGGAATGAGCTGGGCCTCCCTCTCTCCTCCTCCGGTCTCACTCTGGTTTTCAAAGGCCCTTCCCCTCAAAGCAGCTCCTTCAGCTGCCCTCAGCTGCTTTCTTCTCACAACAGTCCCATGGTGCTCACTGCTTTGTTTTTTATTCTTGTAGACAGAGCCTCACTCTATAGTTCAAGATCCTCTTCCATTGGCCTCCCTAGTGCTGGGAGTCAGGTGTGTGCCACCACATCTAGCTCCTGATAGGCCTTTCCCTCTCCAAAGATGTCAACATGCAGTTCATTAACGTTTCTCCGATTTCAGGTTATGGCCCCTAGGCCTGAGGAAGCGCTAACTTCTGCACCCACCATTCCCACATCCTAGGAAACTCAACTCTGTGAGGCAGGCAACCCAGTCCTGGGAAATGTTTTGCACCAGGCTAAGGTCCAAACATCCTCTGTGCAGAAGTTGTTTGTGGACAGCACACACGTGAGAAGCTTCTGTTTCCTTGCCAACTTCCAGCAGAACCCAAATAAAAGCCCTGGGAAAGGTGCATGGTCAGGGCCTTGTATTTGACAACCGCAGCAGCCTCATGCCAACAGAGCCTGTCCCCCCTGGGGAGGCTGTAAAGGCCTTGTTGGCCTACATGGGCGGCCTCCAGTAGCAGCAGCAGCAGCAGCAAGGAAATGGTAGTAGCAGGAGTGGGGCAGTGCTCTGGGGCAAGGAAAGATGGTGTAAACAGGGCGTATGCAGAAAAGCATCCTGCCACCAGCAAATACTTGTTCTCCGTCTGAGGCCCTGCCCTGGAGAAGGGCTCTGCAAGGGGAACCAGCTTGAGGAAGCCTCTGCCTGTGAGTGTGCACACGGCCAGCGCCAGGACGTTGTCCTGTGAGTGTGCATGCGGCCAGCACCAGGACATTACTCTCACTGGACAATGGACCCGTGAGTGTCCTGACTGTGGGAAGTCTTTTGGCAGAAACTGACACCATTCTGTGCACAGGAGAATTTGTGTTGAAGCAGCACATTGTGTACTTAGCGAATGTGAGGAGACCTTTCTCCACAGCCAGAGCCATCACCAGGGAGCAGGGCTTCACAGGTGTGAGGAGTGTGGGAGAGGCTTCATGTTCAAGCCCAACTTTACTGAGCACCAGAGGATGCACACAGGAGAGAGGCCCTAGGAGTGCAGGGAGAGTGGGAAAGCCTTCAGACAACACTCCAGTGCTTTCTACACCAGAGAGTGCACATGGGAGAGAGGCTTTAGGAGTGCAGGGAGTGTGGGAAAGCTTCAGACAGATCTTTAATTTCATTCGACATGGGAGAGTTCACACTGGAGAGCTGCTGTATCTCTGCAGGCAATGTGCCAAGAAGTTGTTCAACACCAGACTATCCACAGTGGAGAAAGGCCTTATGAGTGCAGGGAGTGTGGGAAGTTCGTCAGACTGTTCTCTAACCTTGTCCGATGCCAGGGTACGAACACTGGAGATAGACCTTCCGCATGTAGCCAGTGTGGGAAATCTTTTAGCCGCAAATTTATCCTCACTTAACACCAGAGAGTCCACACTGGAGAAGAGGCCTTGAGTGTGGGAAGTCCTTTATCCAGAAATCTGACCTCGCTCAGCACCGGAAAATTCATACTAGCACAAGACCGAATGAGTGTGGGGAGTGTGGGAAGTCCTTCAGTGTTCCAGCCTCATTCAGTACAGAGAGTTCACACTGGGGAAAGGCCTTATGAATGTGGGAAATGCAGGAAAGCCTTTAGCCAGAGGGCTAGTCTTTCTCAGCATACAGGAGGGAGACCTTACATGTGCAATAAATGTGGGAAATCCTTTAGTCAAAGCTCCAGCCTAGTTCAGAACCAGAGAGGTCACACTGGAGAAAAGCCTTGTGAGTGCAGTGAGTGTGGGAAGCCCTTTGCTCACACATCTGACCTCCTTCAGCACCAGAGTCCACACTGGAGAGAGGCCTTACATATGCCATGGATGTAGGAAATCCTTCAGCTGTGAATCTTACCTCATTGGCCACATTATTTACACTTGAGAACAGTCTATAGCCTTTTGCTGTGATATATGAACTACACATTGTCACTGGTCACTAGGATACAAACCAGGAGACTAATAAACTAAATGGAATGCATCTTAAAAAAAAATGTATCCATTGGGGCTGGGAAGGTGGCTCAGTGGTAGAGCACTTGCCTTGAATGCCTGAGGCCCTGGGTTCGATTCCTCAGCACCACATAAGAAAAAAGCCAGGAGTGGTGCTGTGGCTCAAGTGGTAGAGTGTTAGCTTTGAGCTGAAGAGCTGAGGGACAGCGCCCAGGCCCAGAGTTCAGGCCCCACAACCGGCTACCCCCACCCCCCCAAAAAATGTATCCATGCCAGGCGCTGATGGCTCATGCCTGTAATCCTAGCTACTCAGGAGGCTGAGATCTGAGGATCACAGTTCAAAGCCAGCCCAGGCATGAAAGTCTGTGAAACTCTTCTCTCCAATAAATCACCAAAAAACCAGAAGTGGTGCTGTTGCTCAACTGCTAGAGCTAGAAGAGCTGAGGGACAGTGCCCAGGTCCAGAGTTCAAGTCCCACGACCAAAAAATAAACAAACAAATAAATGTATCCACAAGTGTTCACTGGCAATGATTGTGGAGTCACTATGTAAAGAAATTCTGAGCCAGGAGCTGGGGGGCTCACACCGTAATCCTGGCTACTCAGGAGGCCGAGATCTGAGGTTCCCAGTTCAAAGCCAGCTCAGGGCAAGAAAGTCTGTGAGACTCATTTCCAGTTAACCACCATAAAAATGGAAATGGAGCTGTTGCTCAAAGTGGTAGAGCACTAGCCTTGAAGACAAAAGCTCAGGGACAGTGCCCAGGCCCTGAGTTCAAGCCCTATAACTGACAAATTCTGAGGCTCTTCATAGCTACTTCCTGAAGCTGTGCTTTTATGAGAGAAAACAATGGAAAGGTTCTGCAGATTCCTATAACAGAAAAATGCTTCTGTAGTTCAGGGCTGTGGCTTTTGTGGCCCAGTCGGCATTCTTGCTATAAAAGTGTAACAGCCTTCACTGCTTTCCAGTAATTGCTGCCACTGACAAGAAGAACTTTTCCAGAAGCAGGACACCCAGGCCACTTCTTAAAGCTTCTGTTAAAACACTTTTCATTATTAACTTTCTGCTTGGTGCTTGGCACTGTGGCCTAGGCCTATAGTCCCTGCTTCTAGGGAGGCTGAGGCAGGAGGATCATTTGAGGCCAAAGTGGGCAATGTTGTAAGATCCTAGGTCAGAAAAGAAAAAGTCACATACTTTGGTAAACAGAGCTAATGTGAGACCATCATTACAATCAAGAGAATGAGCGCATCTGTCACCTGTGTTTAGCTTGTTCTCTTGTAATGTTCACACTCCCCAGCTCTCTAGGTAACATAGGTAACAGTGGTTTGCTTTATGATAAATATTTGCACTTTCTGGAATTTTAAGTTATACTAAAGTAAATATATATATATAATATATATATATGTATATGTATATATATGAGTTGCATAATTATTTTGGGATTCAACAATACTTATGTGAAAAGTTCTTAATGGTGGCTAAGTCAAATTTTGTTCTATGGACAAATCACTAGGGAATTTGTGTCACTTAAGATATTTTGATTACAAATAAAGCTGCTGTGACTATTTCAGCTTTTATAGGGATACAGATTTATTCGCCTTGTATTAAAATTATAATGCCTGAATTACAACATAGGTGAATGTTCCTCTGGCACAATCATGAAGGAGGAAGGGTGGCCTCTAACTTTTCAAAGAACTCAACATGCAAGTATGGAAACCACTGGCAAAGCTGTGTGCCACCTGCCAGATGACAGGAGAGCCAGACAGAACCAAATGTGAGGTGTGGTTATTTAGTAGATGAAGTAGGAGATTTGGCTCCTGAGTTACCTAGGGAAAGACTGAACAGACAATGATCAGAAGTGGGGAGGGCAAATGATGTTCACCTGAGAGACATGGACATGATGAGCATACATAGGTACTTACTAAAAGGCAGAGGTTCTTGAACAAAGGAATAAAATCCACTGGGAAGGTGAAACAATGCCATGTCAAAAGAGCTGAGAAACGCAGCACTGTTCACAATAGCTAGGATATGGAAACAACCCAGATGCCCCACCACAGATGAATGGATCCAAAAATTGTGGTATCTATACACAATGGAATATTATGCAGCCATTAGAAATGACAAAATAATGGCATTTGCAGGGAAATGGATGGAGCTAGAAGGAATCATGTTGAGCGAGGTAAGCCAAGAGCGAAGAGACAAACGGTACATGGTCTCCCTGATAAGTGGATGATAAATCCAAAATGTTAGGTGATACGACAAAACTAACAGGACTTAAGAAACAAAGAACTCCTGCTCATCTGGTTGAACCACTACTAAATATCCCCACGCTGCTGATCACATGTATGGTGTATAACATGTGAACACTGTTATATATTACAGACTGTGATAGACAATTTGTTCCAGGAAAGTTAGAATGAACTTGTGACTTAGAAACTATGTAATCACTTAATCACAATAAAAAAAAAAAAAAAAAACAAAACAAAAAAAAAAAAAAAAAAAGAACCTTCGGGGAAGGGAGGGAGGGAGGGGATGGTAGGGGGAAAACAATGGAGGGGCTAACAATGTTCAAGAGGAAGTGTACTCATTACCTCACTCATGTACTGTAACCCTCTGTATAGTATCTTTACAATAAAAAAAAAAAAAAAAAAAAAGAGCTGAGAAACACTAGGTTTAAATCTGAGCCCGAACTAATAATATCTACAATGTGAGGCTTCCTTTATGGAAAAAAAAAAGTACACTGAATGCCCTGGACTTTCTTTTTTTTTTGTTTTGGGTCCGGTCGTGGGGCCTGAACTCTGGGCCTGGGCGCTGTCCCTCAGCTCTTCAGCTCAAGGCTAGCGCTCTACCACTTGAGCCACGGCGCCACTTCCGGCTTTTTTCTTTTTGCTTATGTGGTGCTGAGGAATCGAACCCAGGGCCTCTGGCATGCAAGGCAAGTGCTCTACCACTGAGCCACCTTCCCAGCCCCTGCCCTTGACTTTCTAATACATGTCCTGTACATTCTCATTCAGACCTGGCCCTTGGCAGGAATGCTGGCAGCTCAGAGACCCGGTAGTACCTGCCATGCTGCTTTGAGTGCTGGCTGCCTGCCCAGCAGCAGCCTCAAGAGCACATTGTTTGAGGATCTGACTCCACTTCGGCTGCAGGGTACAGTTCTGGAGCATGCTCCTCTGACTGACAGCATGCCTTGTGGAGGTATAATGGGGTTCCTCTAACCAGTCTGTGGCTGCCTCCAGCACTCCTCTGTAACTCAGTATTTCCTTAAATGTCCTAAGTCGCACCACAATCTTAACATCTCGTGGTGTGGCCCTTCAGAATTCAGGGTAGGCAAACGGACCACACCAGGGCAAGTTTCCCCACACAGCACTGAGCATGGTGCAGCAACTCGTGCCCAGGAGAATCTCATGTTTGTTTCAGAAGCACCCAATTGTCACCCCTGTCCTTGACTCTCCTCAGGCTGACCTGAATCCAAGTTAGACAGTCTCCTCCAGCTCCTCCACAGTGGTCTCACCAGCAAGGCAAACTGCATCCAGACCAGTAGAGCCACTCTCCTACTCTCCCTTAAGACACAGAGAAACACTGGGTTCCTTCACCTTCATGTTAGCAGAACCCATGTTTTGAAAACTGGCCATACAGCGAACAGAACTCCCAAGAAGATGGTGGCTTAAGTAATAAAGACTTTTATTATACAAACCAGAGCATGGGAGGCAGGTGGTAGAACTGAGGCTAGGAACATCCATTAAGTCATGTGACATGAACAAGACACCTGAACTATTCAGTCCACCCTTTGAATCCTCTAGGCCAGACTGGGTCAGGTCCGTCCCCATGTCATTGGGAAAGAAAGAAGGGAAAGAGAGCTGTCTGCTCAGCTTGCCTCTGTGGACCCTGGGGGAAGCCCAGCTCCACCCGGCTTCACACACCACGCTGGGTGAACAGCACACTGTAGGCGTCACCAGGAGGCAGAGCTGTGATGGCCACAGAACAAGGCAGCACCTAGCAGTGTAGCTACAACATACCTGGGCCTCCTGTGCAGTTCTGGACGGATGAGGTGGCTTGTTAAAGACATGACACCAATTCTCCAGAGTTGTACTGAACAAGGAACTAGCACATCACCACATGACAGTAATCTGCTAAGATGTTGAGCTGAGTCAATTCTGTTGTTCACTGCTCTCAGCACCGCCTAACAGAGCTAGAGCTTCTCTGTCAATCCTAAGGCCTTACTGGCCTTCATCGACTATGAATTTTCTGGTGTTTAATGAGGCTAGAGCTATGACTAAAGGACTTGCCACATTCGGTGCACTTATAAGGCCTTTCTCCAGTGTGGACCCTCTTGTGCTTAATGAGGCTGGAGTTTTGAGTGAAGGATTTGCCACATTCGCTGCACTCATAGGGCCTCGATCCAGTGTGAACCCTCTGATGTTTCTGGAGACTGGAGCTGTAGGTGAAGAACTTCCCGCACTGGCTGCACTCATAGGGCCGCTCTCCGGTGTGTACTCTCTGATGCTGAAGCAGTGCAGAGCTCTGGCTGAAGGACTTCCCGCACTCGCCGCACTTGAAAGGCCGCTCTCCCGTGTGGACCCGCCGGTGCTCCGTGAGGCTGGAGTTCTGGCTGAAGGACTTCCCGCACTCGCCGCACTCGTAGGGCCGAGCGCCGCTGTGAACCTTCTGGTGCTTTATCAGGCTGGAGTGGTAGGTGAAGAACTTCCCGCAGTGGCTGCACTCGTAGGGCCGCTCTCCAGTGTGCACGCTGTGGTGCTGCAGGAGCGCTGAACTCTCGCTGAAGGACTTCCCGCACTCGCTACACTCATAGGGCCGCTCTCCGGTGTGGACTCGCCGGTGCTTAATGAGGTTGGACTTATTGCTGAACAGCTTCCCACATTGCTCGCACTCATGAGGCCGTATGCCGGTGTGAACCCTCCGGTGCTGAATGAGGCTGGAGCTCTGCCTGAAGGACTTCCCGCACTCCCCGCACTCGTACGGCTTCTCCCCGGTGTGGAGCCGCCAGTGATCGCTGAGGCTGTAGCTTTTGCTGAAGGATTTCCCGCAGTCACTGCACGTGTAGCACCGTTCTCGAGGGAGGGTTTTCTGCTGCTGACCAGCTGAGCGTGTGTAGCTGAACGTGTCTGTGACTGCCACATAGCTGCAATCAGGCTTTCCACTGTGATGGACGGCTGTCCCGTGACTGCTAGCATCTGACCGCTCCCCAGTGGACGTGGGCTTCTCATGCCAGAGCCCTGCAGCAGCCAGGGACTCCTGGCTGCCGCCCCCATCAGGGAGGGCTTCCCCTGACATAGGGGCTTCGCTGACCTTCCCAGAAGAGGCAAGGCCTACACTACTTGTGCCACTTTTCTCTCCCAACTGCTCCTGGTGTGGATGAGTGTCTGCACTGCAACAGAACTGCCTCTGCCATGCTTCACTTGCCTGTTCACAATGTGTTCCCTCTGGGCCACATGTGTGCATGATGTCTCTCGAGACCGGGCCCCATATCACACCGGTATGAGACGTGTGGGGAGACAGACCTTCTCCAGAAGTTCTGGCTTGGGACGCTTCAAAAGCGGCACTCAGCTGAGAAGGTGTTTTTTCATCCTCTGCTCCATGCCAAAAACCTGAAAGCAAGAAGCGCTTGTAAGTGCACACTGCCACTGACAGATGATGAAACCCTCTCATGGAGAGAGCCGTGAGGCAGCGGACACAACCATGTATGGACAGACAGGAGGAAAGCTGAAAACCTGATTCTGCACAACAGCTTTTATCAGAAACCTTGCTGTTGACGTTTCGTGTATGGGGGATGATGTGTCCATGTGTGCTGCATGTGACTGCTTTGTTCACACATGTGCTGTTGTAGGATGGTGTGTCCAGGCCCAGAAAAATAGGAGGACTGTGTAAGAATGCATACATACATTGTGACACAATATACTGAGATCTGTCTTGGAGAATACCACCACAGAAGGAACAGAGAGAAGAACTGGGGAGACATGAACCCCGAGGTGTGGGATAAGGTCCAGTGTGGGTGTGAGAATGACAGGTAGTAGAACGCACAGATGGGGAAGTGCTGTGAAGGACACCTGTATGAAGGGCCGAGGTCCAGCTCCAGGCAGTCAGGGGTGAGGAACTCACCTAGGGATGTCACCAGGGCTAAGTTCTCCATCATCACATGGCGATACAGGCACTGCTGAGTCTCTTCCAGGAGATCCCATTCCTCCCAGGAGAAGTGGACGGCTACATCTTCAAAGGTCACAGTGCCACGGAGAGACTTCCCAAATTACAAAAGCCTCTCTTTAGGACACACAATCAATTCTGCCACATACTATGCCCAACCCCTTCCCAGGCTCCTCTAGTCAGGGAAGATCCACAGTGTCACAGTCCTCTCAGGCTTACTGGTCATGTGGTACATATGGAGACATATACAACTGAGTTAGGGACTGGGCACGACAGATCTACCCTCCTTCCTTCAGCATTCTTTTTAGACTGAAGGTCAGGGCTCTGGGGCCAGGTGGCTTTTTGGCTGTGTACATCATTTTTTTTTGGTTGGTCGTGGGTTTTGAACTCTGGGCTTGGGCGCTGTCCCTCAGCTCTTCAGCTCAAGGTGAGCACTCTACCGATTGAGCCACAGCACCACTTCCGGTTTTCTGAGTAGTTTATTGGAGATAAAAGTTTCACGGACAGGACTGGGAAGGTGGCTCAGTGGTAGAGTGCTTGCCTTGCATGCATGAGGCCCTGGGTTCGATTCCTCAGCACCACATAAGCAAAAAGAAAAAAGCCGGAAGTGGCGCTGTGGCTCAAGTGGTAGAGCGCTAGCCTTGAGCTGAAGAGCTGAGGGACAGCGCCCAGGCCCAGAGTTCAGGCTCCACGACCGGACCCCGCAAAAAAAAAAAAAAGTTTCACGGACTTTCTGCCTGGGCTGGCTTTGAACCGTAATCCCCAGATCTCAGCCTCCTAAGTAGCTAGGATTACAGGCGTGAGCCACCGGCGCCCAGCTACATCACTCTTTAGATACTCATCCCCCGTAATTGCAGACACAGCTCCTTCCCATGGCCACACCCCCTCGCCACCCCACACCACTGACACCTTTGACTTCCCACATGTGGTGTCTTAAACACCACCTCTTCACACTACTGTGGTAGCATTTAAATCCTCGGATTGTGGGGATTGCCAAACGCGTTATCTGACACTGAAATAGAGATTTGTTGCACAATTTTATTATACACATGCTTGGAGAGAAGAATATACACCACCCAGCACCACATGGAGGTGAAGAGGAGAAAATCTCAGCAACTGGGATGATGACCAAAAGGCCTCCCCTGGAACCACAACCGACCCATCTCCATGACTTGATGTGCTGGTGGAAGTTGAAACCTGCTACACAGGAACAAGGTTGCATTCGAAAGAAAAGAGTTGTCCATGTGGCAGGGACAACAAGCCTCCAGGGAGGCTTGAAGTCACCATTTGCTATAATCCTAGTCTCACTAGATGCCGAGCCACCATGTATGAGCCCTGGCTCCAAGTATCACACTGCATTCACTGTCTAGAATACCCTGGGCAACCTCACATTACCTCAGACCTGTTCTAAGCTCTTCCACTAGTGGTGGGAGACTCAAATCCTACAAAAGCTGTGTCGCTGGCTCCATTTTTGCTGGAGTTGAGCTGGACACACATATATGTGCTCGCCTCAGCAACCAGAACCACATCCCACTTCTATTCTGCACGTGTCCAAACTTCCCAACACACAAAGACCAACTGTCCCTAATGCAAATGCACTTCCGGCTAACTGAATATCACAGATAATCTTATTTACCCTGGGCTGATTTTCCAGGTTGAACTAAACACTCCAAACCTCAAAATCCCAATGAGTAGTGAATAAGTACCAAGTCCACAGGGAGTGTTACTGTTCTCAAATACACAACAAATCTGCCCCAGTTTCACATGCCTTCCTCTTTGAAAGTCTATGAAATCTGGCAAACTACTGTACTACACTCTACCTTCATGGCCACTTGCCCCTGTATCAGGATTGTACAACCCAATAGCACCACCCAGTAAAGCACCAACAGGCAGTCCTCGGCTCCACCCACTTCCCAAGCGTCCATAAAGGCTGCCTCCTAAGTTCCATCCACTCCCTTAATCCAGTAATACCACACTGTAGATGCCTCCATACGCAACCACTTACTGATTCCCACTTACTGATTCTCACTGACTGCTGTGTTCAGCTCCTCAATCCCACTACTCAGTGGTTTCTGAAGCATCTCCGAGTGTTAACATGACTTATCACACCCCGTGCCATCCCCATGAATATTACATCTTTACCTTTGTGGACAGAACCTGCATTCCTGCGAAAACCCTAGGGTCATCCCTGAATCATTGCCTCCCTCACCATCCACATGGAAAATCCAAGCATCATTTACAAACTCAATTCCAGAAAGTAATCACCTCCCCTAAGCCACAACCCTGGCACGTGCACCTTCACCTGCGCGAGAGGCAGCCTCCACTCGACCTTCCACCATCTGCTACATTCTCCAGACTCGTGCTAGACCGCGAAGTCACCTGCTGCTTCTCGCCCGCACCTCCATCATGCAAGACAGACGACTGACTGCTCAAGCGGCCATGGCGACTTCTTGCTAGCCAAAGAACACTGCAAAAAAAACCACGGAACTGCCCGGGCCTCGACGTCCTCACCGCCCCTTCAGCTCTGCTCTTCCTTCGGGAAGCTTCTGAGACCTCACAGAAGCCGTCCCAGGCGCCTCGCCCGCTGCCGCACTGCACGGCACCTCAGGCGTCACGGCGGAGCCTCGGCCACCAGCAAACCCACCGACCGGGCCCGGGCTGCACACAAACAGGCCACGCGCGCGCATACAGGCCGCGCACGCGCACAGGCCTCGCAGACCGCGCGCGTGCACACAAGCCGCGCACGCGCACAGGCCTCGCAGACGAGCGCACAGGCCCCCTCACCTAGGGCTCCGGTGGGCCGGGGCGCCGCGCTCACCTGGGCCGCGTTCCTCAGCGCGGCCGCCGCCATGGGACTCTGCGGGCGGAGCGGGAGCCCGGGCCTGACGCGGCTCACCGCGACGTCCGCCTCGTCCCCGCCATCACGGTCTCATCATCTCTACCGGGAAAATGGCCGCCACAAAGCCGAGGCCGAACTTCCGCCCTCACCCTCTGCTGCCATGGAAACGCCTAATGCCGAGCTCTCATTGGCTCACGCGCACGGGGGTTAGCACCGAGCATTCTGGGAAGTGTAGTTCCCTGTCAAAGATGGCGCTCTGGTGCTCAGCAGCGGAGGACCACGAGGCGTTGGGAAAGCCTGGCGGGGCTTTGTTCAGGAAGAAGCGGGGCCGGGGCGCGCGGGCCGGGCTGGGGACACCGTCCCCGGGCGTGGGGTGTTCGTGGGGTAAACGCAGAGCCTGGCCCCGAGGTGATGCAGCCAGTGTGACTTCTGAGTGTTCGACACGGACAGGGAGGCGCCCGCTGTCTCTGCACTTGGGGCAGGAGGTGGCTGAAGTTGGGGGAAGCGTTTTTCTCAGGAAGGCACGCGTCCTGTCAGACAAGGGTTAGGATTTTGTTTTGTTTTGCAGTCCTGGGTCTTGAACTCAGGGCCTGGGCGCTGTCCCTTAGCGCTTCAGCTCAAGGCCAGCGCTCTATCACTTGAGCTACAACGCCACTTCTGGCTTTTCTGTTTATGTGATGCTGAGGAATCGAAATCGCGGACTCGATTGCGGGGCGAGCACTCTAGCACTGAGCCACCTTCCTAGCTGTTAGTTCTTAGGGTAAGGAACGCAGCCCTCAGGAAGGAACCCGTTCTTTTTTTTTGGGGGGGGGGGTCCGGTCGTGGGGCCTGAACTCTGGGCCTGGGCGCTGTCCCTCAGCTCTTCAGCTCAAGGCTAGTGCTCTACCACTTGAGCCACAGCGCCACTTCCGGCTTTTTTCTTCCAGCTTTTCTGCTTATGTGGTGCTGAGGAATTGAACCCAGGGCCTCAGGCATGCAAGGCAAGCACTCTACCACTGAGCCACCTTCCCAGCCCAAGGAACCCGTTCTGTGGTCTCTCTCAGAAGCAAAGACAGCACTTCTGTGTTTCTAAATACCATATTTCTGAGTTGCCTTCCTCAAGGTCTCCTGTTTCATTTCCCCTAAAACGTCTTTTATTTCTTTAATCTGAAGGAAGTCCTTGAAGGAATAGCTCCTGTATTTACTATAAGTTTACTACTATTCCTCATTTCCCCCTAATCTTATCTGGTTTTAGGTTCAACCAATTAAGCATAAAAAATTTCGGAGTATTTTGATGTATAACTGTGAAGACTCAGGGTCTATGTTGAGGGGGCAGAATGATGCAAGCTCCAGCCTCGGGATTATCTGAGGACTGTGTATGGGATTAGGAAAGCTCTTGGAATGCCAGGCTAGAGAGGGAAAACGTTCTTTCTCCCTATCTCCAGACACATGTCACAGACTCCTGAGAGCTGAGGAAGTGGCTCTTCTGCTTGCTTAAGCATAGATGAACAACTGGTCAAGCATTTTCCTGAGATTAGAGAAGTGGTTTGAGCTTGCTCTAAAATAGTTTAGATAATAATATACCTAGACATTGTCTCATAGGTCAAGTAAAAATGTATCTGTGGAAATTTTTTGTGTAAATGTTTTCTGACCAAATCTTGGCAAAGATTATGCTTGCTTGTCTTTAAATACTCACTAACAATAAAGCACAGCATGCAGTGGCAATTGCTGTTTGCTCTCTGCATCCCTTGTGTCCTGGTGATTTCGTGACCCTTACCCAGGGACCCCAACGCACTAGACGTTGACATATAATCAGCTTACTAAATGCCATATCTATTTCTCACCACTGAGATACATGTAGCCTATCTGGGAAGAAACAAAGTCTGAAAATGTGTGAACTTTTTTTGAAAATCATACTTTTCATAGCACATAAAACATGGAGCTAGGAAGGTTGCTCAGTGGTAGAGTGTTTACCTCGTATGCATGAGGCCCTGGGTTCCATTCCTCAGCACCACATAAGCAGAAAAAGCCAGAAAGTGGCGCTATGGCTCAAATGGTAGAGCAGCTAGCCTTGAGCTGAAGAGCTGAAGGACAGCGCCCAGGCCCAGAATTCAGGCCCTAGGACCAGAAAACAAAACAAACAGACAAAAAAACACCCAAAAAACAAAAACACCTGAAAGTAATAAAGTTAGCATGTGTTAAAATATGAGGGAAAACAACCATATTTTGCAAATATATGCATAATCTGTGTTTTATAATTTTGGAGAAAGGGTGAATGGCTCAGTATTTTCTGTTTATCAAGAAAATGTTTTTTGCCAGTCCTGGGGCTTGAACTCTGGGCCTAGGCTCTGTCCCTGAGCTTTTGATCAAAATTAGTGCTCTACCACTTGAGCCATAGTGCCATTTTGGGCTTTTTTTTGGGGGGGGGGTCCGGTCGTGGGGCCTGGGTACTGTCCCTCAGCTCTTCAGCTCAAGGCTAGCACTCTACCACTTGAGCCACAGCACCACTTCTGGCTTTTTCCTTTTTGCATATGAACCCAGGGTCTCAGGCATGCAAGGCAAGCACTCTACCACTGAGCCACCTTCCCATCCCTACTTCCAGCTTTTTCTGAGTAGTTTATTGGAGCTAAGAGTCTCACAGACTTTCCTGCCCAGGCTGGCTTCAAACTGCCTCCTAAGTAGCTAGGATTACAGGTGTGAGCCACTGGTGCCCGGTTATTTATTTTTTTATCTTGTATTATTATTTTGCTTTGAAAGGGTCATCATGGATTTGTTTTAGCGAAGCCACAACAATGAGAAATGAGCACCAGCCACTGGCTTGCGCTCAAAACAGGAGAATTATACATACTCCCAACAGAGTAAACAGTGAAATGAGACAAGAGGTCTCTGGACCTTGGAGGTATGTGCCTATAAGCAAATGACTTTGATGAATTTTTTGGAGTTTTTTCTTTTGTCTCCAAGATGCACTTTCTTTCCTTACCAGAGCACTGTGGGAAAAAAAAGCCAGGCACCAGTAGCTCATACCTGTATCCCTAGCTACTCAGGAGCCTGAGATCTGAAGATCTCAGCTTGAAGCCAGCATCAGCAACAAGGTCCAGGAAACTCATCTCTAGTTAACCAGCACAAAGGCAGAGGTGGAGCTGTGGCTCAGATGGCAGAATGTTACTAGCCTAGAGCAAAAAAGCTCAGGTAAGGTGCCCAGGCCCTGCGTTCAAATCTCAGGACCTGCTCACTCTCACACACTCTTCTCTGTCTGTCTGTCTCTCTCCCTCTCCCTCCCTCTTTCTCCCTCTCTTTCCCTCACTCCTCTCCTTCCCCACTCTGAATTCACCTGAGGATTGTTTCCTCACTATCTTGTCTGAGTAAATCCAATTCCTATCTGCCATGACTTGGATCATTTCTACATAGCACTGTGGAATTGAGACCCAATTTCCAGCTCTCACAGCTGTGCCAGCAAGCTGACCACCCCCATGCCCTTGCTCCACACAGAATTTTTTCTCTGAATGACTTTCTTAAGATAGTTTGAAAATATTCATCTCCCTTACTTCCCACCCACCATCTTTGGAAGAAATGAATAGAAAGCTACACTTCTTCCGGTGTCTCTTTGCCAACGAAATTATTGTCTTCCCAAGTGGAATGCATTCTTTTTTTTTTTTTTGGGTCTGGTCATGGGGCCTGAATTCTGGGCTTGGGCACTGTCCCTCAGCTCTTCAGCTCAAGGCTAGCACTCTACCACTTGAGCCACAGCGCCACTTTCCGGCTTTTTTCTTTTTGCTTATGTGGTGCTGAGGAATTGAACCCAGGGCCTCATGCATGCAAGGCATGCGCTCTACCACTGAGCCACCTTCTCAGCCCCTGCATTCTTGAATTTTAAGAGGTAGGCATTAGAGTTACATATTCATTTATCCAACTGATATTTATTGGACAGCCACTTCCTACACATTTAAAGTACTTCAGTGAACAAAAGATGAGGCATCCCCTACCCTCTTTTAACGTCTCCATTTAGTGGAAGGAGACAGTAAAATGACAGAATCATCTATAAACACATATAATCCTTTGAACAATGATTCAGTGATAGAAACTATACATATGTATATATAAACACATACATACACAAGTTCAGGTATGTGTACATTACAGGTCAGTAACTGAAGATACTATGTAGAAGGAACACTTCTCTCTGTGTGTGCTGGTACCACGGCTTGAACTCAAGGCTTGGGAGCTCTCCCTTTGCTTTTTTTTTTTGCTTTCAGTTCACCGCTGGAGCTGCAGCTCCACTTCAGCTTTCGAGTGATTAAATGGAAATAAGAATTTGATGGACTTTGCTGCCCAGACTGGCTTTGAGCCTCAATCCTCAGACCTCAGCCTCCTGAGTATCTGAGATTATTGTTCTGAGCCTCCCCCCTCCATGCTGCAGGGAGGAAGATTTTTGAGTCTGCTTTTTTTGGTGGTGAAACACTTGCGGGTCCGATGTGTTTGGTGAATCCTCAGGTGGTGATGGTATGTGGATGACTGGCGGTAACTTCTCTGGCAAAGGGAGCAGGTGTAGGGCTTCTCCCCAGTGTGGATCCGTTCATGCGCCTGCAGGTTGGTCCTGTGGCTGAAGGACTTTTCACATCTGCTGCACACAGACGGCTTCTTTGTTGTGTGAATTATCTGATGCACTCATAGGTCTGATGCCTGGTAGAAACCTTTGTGACACTCAGCGCAGAGAAATGGCCTCTCGTTCCTGTGCCTTCTTTGGTGGGCCAGAAAGCGAGAGAGATATGCAAAGGTTTTGGAACATTCCTTACACTTGTACACTTTCTGAACTTGGGAGGATCTTCCTTGGTGTTTGTCATTGCTCTGGTGAGTAGGGTTGAGCTCAGGGGAGGACCTGACTGACATGGAGAAAAACTCTAGTTGCCCCTCTGAAGGGCCATCTTGATCATTTGGTCTCTTCAGGAACTCTTCCTGGGACCCAGAGGCTCTTCTGGGGTCCCCACAAGAAACCCTTCTTCATCTGTTCTAGAGCCATTTTCTTTCTGGATAATATAGAGGGGAGCTGTGTGATTCCCTTGACCAGTAGTAAGACTGTCATCTGCTTGGGTGGTTTTTCAGCCATTTCTGTAACCAGCTTCATTTCCTGTGGAAATAAGTTAATGCCATGAAAGTGTGCCCTATCAAAGGTGGCCCAGGAGTTCCTGCCAGTCACCTGACCTACCTGCTCCCAAGGCTGGGTCTGAGGCAGTCCCAGAGAACATCCCTGCAGTCCCTCCTGTTGGGGTTTCTGCTAACATCTGAAATGAAAGATGACTTCTCTTAAGGGCATGTGCTCAGAGAAAAGGGCTTCTCGGCCCTGCATGTGGACATGGACCTGTAAAAAAAAATAAAAAAAGATGCTTTTTCATCTGACAACCTACCCTCAGTGCGCTTTTCCACAATCTCATCTAGGCACTGGGCACTGTGTCTTTCCCAGTTCTCTCTGATGGTGCTGCTCTCAAAAGATTTCATGTTGTCAAGTCATAAAGACACCCAATTAGCAAATATTAGATCATTGGTGAGGCAGAATGTTTTGTTTTGTTTTTGGGTCCAGTTGTGGGGCCTGAACTCTGGGCCTGGGCGCTGTCCCTCAGCTCTTCAGCTCAAGGCTAGTGCTCTACCACTTGAGCCACAGCGCCACTTCCAGCTTTCTTTTCCCTTTTTGCTTATGTGGTGCTGAGGAATCGAACCCATGGCCTCTGGCATGCAAGGCAAGTGCTCTACCGCTGAGCCACCTTCCCAGCTCTGGTGAGGCAGAATGTAAGTGTGGTTTCTTATGAGCTTTTGGCCACAATTATTGTCAGATGTTTTTTGATATAGCCATATGTTTTTGATGACTTAGCACAGAATACATGGCCAGCAGCCTAAAACTCAGACCTGAATGAAACACACCCAGCACATAAACTATCTTTGTGAGGTGTGTGAATAATTTCCTAGCACTTAGGAACACTATTAGACTGCAACTGTACTTCACAATGAAATTAACAAAAATCTGGAACGGTGGAAATGTAGCATGAAATTGACTGTTCGAGGAAGACAGGTCCAGGATGGCCTGATTCTGTGTGCCCACCAGGTGGCTCAAATGTTCTGCTACGTTGCATTGTCTATAAAGGACCAAGAATGTGTCATGGGACCAGGAATTTTGCAACCATGGAATCTGATAATAAGGATCCACTGTAGTATCTGTTATGTTTGTCCTGATCAGTAAAATTATATTGTGACCCTTTGCAGAATCAGTTCTTATCAAAGCTTTCCTTCTTCATTCCTGAAGTCTCTCTCTGCCTACATGCTAATCTCTGAGACAGTTCCTCTTGCCTCTACCCTACTTGAAGGTGATGAACTCCATCAGGCAAGCAACCGGTCATTGGCTCCAATGTGTCCTGCAGGATAAAGATTTCAGACCTTTCTGCCTTTTTCCTGCTAACTTGGAGCACTGGAAATCTTCCATGGCCAGGAGCATGTGGACTTATATAACGCTTCTCTACGTCCAGGCAAGTTCTGGACTTCCCTCCATCCCTTAGCCCAGATCAGAACTCGGCACTCACTAAGTCAGGTGTCTTCACACAGTCATCTGTCAGCACTTCCAGTAGTTTCTCTAGGCTTCTGCCACTGGACTCCCATTTCTCTTTCAAGTCAGTCTTGTCTTTGCAGTATCCACTAATAATGAACTGCTCCAGAACCAGCTGGGAGATAATTTCCTCCTTGCTGTGTTTTTCTGGTTGCAGCCATGAATGAAAAAACTGATTATAGTGTTTGCAGCTCCTGCCTTGCACCCAAGTTGCTGCTGTGTTGAGGAAACTCGAGCTGATTGCTGGAGAACACAGAGACCTCTTCCTTCTTGACAGTGGAGCCATGGGTTGGGTTAAACTCAAGATTTCCAAACGCGAGATTATCCAGAGATGGCTCATGTTGAAAGGATCATTGGAGGCTTAGAGTCATTCTTAGAAGAGTTGTTGGAAAGATTCTACTTTAAGCAAGTACTTCTCACTGTCTGGTGTCTCTGGGGATCAGTTTCAACAATTGGTAGGTTTTTAAAGGTTGTGATCTGGAAGTAGGAGAGATATATAATTAGGCAAATCAAGTAACTGGGACTTGAATGCAAGGCTTTGCACCCTCACTAGGCTTTTTCTGATCAAGGCTAGCATTCTACCATTTGAGTCACAGTGTCACATCTGCCCTTTTGCTTGTTAATTGCAGATAAGAGACTCCACAAACTTTTTGGCTGGCCTTAAACCTCGATGCTCAGCTCTCAGCCTCCTGAGTAGCTAGGATGACAGGTGTGAGCCCAACTTTTTTCTCATGTTATATATTGTTAACATTTCATGTTTTGTACTTTTTAAAAAGAAACCTTTATTTTCTCGTCTCCTAAACCCTGCTTTCATTATTTGTGAGTTCACATCGTTAGGGGTGAGGGGAAGGTGGGGGAACCACCTTTCTTTTCTTTCTTCTCTGGGCCTGGGCACTGTCCCTCAGCTTTTCAGCTCAAGGCTAGCACTCTATCACTTGAGCCACAGTGCCATTTCCAGCTTTTCTGCTTATGTGGTGCTGAGGAATCGAACCCAGGGACTCATGCATGCAAGGCAAGCACTCTACTACTGGGCCATCTTCCCAGCCCTCATGTTTTGTACTTTTAAAACAGCAAAGTTCATGCTGTAAAAATTAGAAAAGAAAGAGGATGTCTGTTAGGAGGGATACATAAACACTTAAATATGTGATCTATTTCTGAGTTGAAGTCGTTTCATTTTGCATTACATAGCCACCAGGATGTCATGAATTAATGAGTCAAACATTACTCCCTTAAGCCCTCCTCCATGAAGGCCTGGAAACCCTGCTCCGCGGTAGAGTACCCACCTAGCAAGGGCAAGGCCTGGGTTCAGTCCTCAAGACCTCAAAACAGAACACAGGAACAACAAAACCAACTTCTTAGGTGGGTATTGAATGTGCTCTGCCTTTCCCTAGTCTGTTTACCATGGAGCTTCTGGTCTCTGGGTTTACGATGTTGCTTTGCTCCTGCCACGCTTAGGGCCTAGTGCTCTCCTGACCTGCCAGCCCTAGGGGGAAGTACCGAGGCCCTCCTTGAGCTACAAGGATTTTCTGGGCCAGTTCCAAATCTCTCCAGCCCCATCTTGGGTTTCTGGCTTGGTGTTGAGGTCTGGTCTGGGCTCTCTCTGTGTCTCTCTCTATGAGACTTGTGCCACTTTCATCTGGGCCTCACAGAAACTCTCTTCCCCAAACCCCTTCTGCTCCCTAACCTGACCCTTCCCCCACATCCCCACACTTAGCAGACAATCTGCCACGTCCACAGGGAGAAAGCTGCTTTGAGGACAGTGGATCCAAAGTCCTGTTCCTCGAGGTTCTGCTCTCAAATCTGGTGTTAGATGTGTAAGCCAGGTGTGCTACCAGCCATCAGGTCCCTGTCTGTGGCAAGGGGCCTTGAATCTCTAAAGACACAGCTGCCAGCGTCACTGCAGGACCTGAGTTAACACACACAAAGCACTTAGGCAACCACTGGCTACTGAACCCAAGGCCAGCCACAGCCTCAGAATAGTAAATGGAAAATGACAAATAGAAATAACTGGTCATTTTAAACAGTGTGGCATTCTGGGCAATGGAAAATCCCTGCTGGCCTCTCCTTTTCAAAGTCCAGGACGTCTGTGCCGCCCCCACCCCCACCCCATGTTTATGTGCAAGCCAACATCATGCAGGTCATGCAAGAAACTGCTCAGTTATCAACCAAGCAGTATCACAGGCAATTCTCACATAAATAGTGAACCCAAAGTGCAAGAGTGGCAACTCAGGTATATTGCATGTGCCAAAGAAAGCCGTAAACTGCCAGCCCAGGCAGGAAAGTGTGAGACTTTTTTTTGTGTGTGTGTCTGGTCGTGGGGTTTGAACTCTGGGCCTGGGCGCTGTCCCTCAGCTCTTCAGCTCAAGGCTAGCGCTCTACCACTTGAGCCACAGTGCCACTTCCGGCTTTTTTCTTTTTGCTTATATGGTGCTGAGGAATTGAACCCAGGGCCTCAGGCATGCAAGGCAAGTGCTCTACTACTGAGCCACCTTCCCAGCCCAAGTGTGAGATTTTATCTCCAATTAGCCACCAAAGAAGCTGGAAATGGAGATGAAGCTCAAGTGGTAGAGAGCCAGCCTTGTGGGGAAAAAGCTCAGGGACAGCACCCTGGCCCTCAGTTCAAGCCAGCGAGGGGATGGATAGACAGACAGATAGATAGATCAAACATACTTGATGCCGTGGACCGGCTCTGTCAGGACAACAGAGGACACCTAGTGGAGGAACTGGAATAGGTGGGGAGATGGCAAACAGACAACTTACAAGAGGCTTTGTCTGGAGGACGGAGGACACCTAGTGGAGGAACTGGAATAGGTGGGGAGATGGCAAACAGACAACTCACACACAAGAGGCTTTGTCTGGACGACGGAGGACACCTAGTGGAGGTAACCGGAATAGGTGGGGAGATGGCAAACAGACAACTCACACACAAGAGGAGTGAATGCTGAATGCAATTTATTGCAGAGGATAACAAGGTTTTATAGCAAAAGTCTCCATGAGAAAGGGCAAAAGATTATACAATCTTCCTGCAAGGCTTCGTTCTTGGGTGGTCACCAGCTGGTCGCCTGATCTTGCTTTTTGGATGACAGCTATGACGATAGGCACTTGTTCCAGGCTTTACCTCTATTTTTTAAGAAATACAATGGGTTTTGATGTTTATCACCTATTAACCTTTAACCAGAGCATATGGGCAAGGTGCTGGACAGAAAGGCCTGAACTCTAGTACTTTATTATTACCTTTGTTTAGTTTTGTACTTTATACGTTTCAAATCTTTTCTAAGCATTTGTGCTTCTTTGCCATTCTTTAGAGGGTCCCCAATTTGTGGCCAAAAATCATGATATTCAGTATACTTAGTTAAATCTGGCCATATATCAAATTCAAGCTCATAGTGTCTTTTCTGTAACCCTTTCACATAATCGTTTACTCTTTTTTTTTTATAAAGGCCTTAACTGTCTCATAAGATCTTTCTTGTTCCTTCTTTAATAGTAAGCACCAAGGAGACCTAGATCTAGCAAGTCTCTCAGTACATGAAAGAGAGTAACAGGAAGTTCTTTCTCCTAAGTAGTTTTCCCAACGATTGCCATCCTTATCATACACACCTGTAAAAGGCTATGGATCTGGGGGAAGTCTTTGGGGTCCTCTAGATAATGGAGGATCCCACCATTTTCCTCTGATAAGCCATTGCCACCTTTCATCTACCAACCTTTTAGGAATCTTATTTAGCTTTTGGTCTAAATATCCCTCTACACCTTTCTTATCTACAGGATATCTATATAAATCTATTGTATATGCTTTAGTATTAAAGGAAAGTCTCCAATAGCCATACACTCTTTCTGATCTAGCCGTGCCTACAGCTTCTTGTAAATCTCTTACAAACAATTCCTTCTGCTGAAGTGACATCATGAACCCCCCAATATTTTTATATTTACTTATGACTTGTCTACTAGCCTCCATAAGAGGGGCTTTCAGGGTAGCACTTAACTCTGGTAAGTTAGTCATATTCTCAAGACACTCATCAGATGTTGGAGTCGTCAACACTTTCAAGAAAGAGCCTTGAATAAGAGAACACTGAGCATGAGTAAGTACAATAAGCAGCAGAAACAGTAAAAGATTAATAGGCACTCCTATTCAGTGAAGAAAAGAAAAACAGGACCAGAAACACATCTTTCCCAGGGGCTTGCCAGCCTTTTCAGGAGGAAGGCCTCTTCCAAGCCCCATTCTCTGAGGTAGACTTCAGTGAAGTCCCATGCTAAGCAGACTCCACTGGAGTAGGCGTGGCAACTTGACCAAATAACAGATGCTTAATCTGAGAATGCTAAGGTCTTTGGTAAGAAAAGAACACAGTAGCTTATAATCCCATCTATTTGCCAGTTAGGAAGGATTTTAAGTTCCAGGCTAGAACTTAAAATCCTGTCTTGAAGATAAAAACAAAAGGTTGGGGCTGCAGCTCAGTGGTAGAGAGCTCTTCTAGCAAGGGTGAGGAAGGCCTGAGTTCAGTCTCCAGTCCTGGAGGGGCAGAGAGAGGCGAAGTACCATTCTTGTTTCAGGCATCCATAGAGCATCTCAGACTGTCCACCGTGCATAAGATGGTATAGTTGTAATTGATACTTGGTTTTAAATTTCAACAACTACCCCAACTCCAATCTATTGACCAACACTTTTGTAAGAGGTAACACAAATGAAAGACCAGAAGCATAACAGTAATTAACAAGATATACCAGAACATTAACAGGATTCACCTGAACATTAACAAGATGCATCTGGAACATTAACAAGATGCACCAGAACTAAATTAACAAGACTCACCCCAAATATTAAAAGACTCATCTAGAAGACAGGTCCCCTTTACACATGAGCCCCAGCATCAAGACATTTGAGTCAGAATAGTTTTATCAAAAAAAAAAAAAACAAGAAATACTTCTAGGAAACCCCCCTCTCTAGGTAATCAGAAATTTTCCTCAACAATACCCCCATACCTGTGCATGCACACTCCAACATACAATGTGGCTGATTTTCCTTTCATTCATGAAGCTCACCTCAGAGGAACTGCTGCACGCTGAGCTTCCTGGCTAGCTCTTTGCTCTGCATTAATCTAAAGTTCTTCCTAAACCTCTTTCCTCTTATAGGATCTTTTATAGGGCTAGATTAGTGGATTGGCGGTGTGTGAGCCACACCTGTAATCCCAGGACTGTGGACAAGGCCCGCATAGGTTAAGACTCAGTCTTACAGAACAAAACAAACAAAATACCATGCTCTAGGATTGAATTACCCTTGGAATTTTTGTAGTCATGGGGCTTGAACTCAGGGACTAGGCCCTGTCCTTGAGCTCTTTTGCTCAAGGCTAGTGCTCTACCACTCTGAGCCACAGCACAGTTCTGATTTTTTGGTGATTAATTGGAGCCTTATAGGCTTTTCTGCTCAGGCTGGCTTTGAACCTCAATTCTCAGATCCCAGCCTCCTGAGTAGCTAGGATTATAGGCATGCATGCACCAATGGTGCCCAGGTACTCTAGGAATCTTTTTTTTTTTTGCTAGTCCTGGGGCTTGATCTCAGGGCCTGGGCACTGTCCCTGAGCTTCTTTTGTTCAAGGCTAGCACTCTACCACTTGAGCCACAGTGCCACTTCTGACTTTTTCTGTTTATGTGGTACTGAGGAATCACAGGGCTTCCTGCATGCTAGGCGAGCACTGTACCACTGAGCCACATTCTGAGTCCCTACTCTTGGACTCAACCCAACCAGAGTTCCAGATTTCCAATATATATACATATATAGTATATATCTATATATATCTATATATCTCTATCTCTATCTATCTATCTATCTATCTATCTATCTATCTATCTATCTATCTATCTATCTATCTATCTATCTATCTATCTATATTTGGTGCTAGTCCTGGAGCTTGAACTCAAGGCCTAGGTGCTGTGCTTGAAGTTTTTTTTTTTTTTTCTCAAATATTCACAGCTCCACTTTGGCATTTTGCTAGCTAATTAGAGATAAAGTTTCATGGGCTTTCTTGCCCAGGCTGGCTTTGAACAGTGATCCTCAGAGCTCAGACTCCTAAGTAGCTAGCATGACAGGTGTGAGCCTCTTGTGTCCGGCCAGATTTCCAGTACTAAGATGTCACCTCTAGCTATCAGGAGACCATGAACACATTTCCATATTCTTATTAAGGGAGAATATTAATATCAGCATTAGGCTGGGTGCCTTTTACTCACAATTCATGGGCAGCCATGGTAGAAATGGGATGGAATATTCCCAGCATCTTTTTTCCCACCCTGTACCCACTAATCTCATTTTGACATTGATTTACCACAGGAAAGCCATCAACCCATCAAAGCATGTTATTGAATTGTCACTATAGAGAATATCTGAGCAGCCAGATGCTTGTGGCTCACACCTGTAATCCCAGCTATTCAAGAGGCTCAGATCTGAGGATTGAGTTTGAAGCCAGCCTGGGGAGAAAAGTACCCGTGAGACTCATCTCCAATAAACCACTCAAAAACTGGAAGTGGTACTGTGGCTCAAGTGGTAGAGCTAGCCTTGAGCACAAAGAGGCTCAGGGATAGTGCACAGGCCAAGTTCAAGCTCCACAACCAACAAAAATAAAATAATAATATATGAGAGAGGGAGAGGGAGAGGGAGAGGGAGAAGGAGAAGGAGAAGGAGAGGGAGAGGGAGAGGGAGAGGGAGAAGTAGAGAATGGTATCAATACAGATTAAACTTAGAAGTGTGGTGATTGGGCACCAGTGGCTCACACCTGTAATCCTAGCTACTCAGAAGGCTGAGATCTTGAGGATCACAATTCAAAGCCAGCCTGGGCAGGAAAGTCCATGAGACTCTAGCTCCAATTAACCACCAGAAAACCAGAAGAGATGCTGTGGCTCAAGTAGAGCGATCACCTTGAGCTGAAGAGCTAAGGGACAGCACCCAGGCTCAGATTCAAGCCCCATGAGGGACCAAGAAAAAAAAAAGGTATGACATGTAAATGGATCAAAAATGTGCTATTTATTAAGAGAAAAAACAAGAAAATGAGCTATTTGTTAATGAAAGGGAACAAAATAATTCACAAGGAACAGACAAAAATATATGAGCAGACATTTTTACCAAAGACACACAATGACAAATACATGTGAAAGCAGCCAACATTACAATCCTGACAGTAATGCAGAATTATATCAATAAGACCAAATCCTAAGAGGCAGATGACACAGATGTTGGTAAGGATATGGAGGTAGCATTCTTGCTGAGTAAGCGAAAGGAAATAACCACATTGGTTCCCAGTTTGGCAGTTTCTTCCTCAGGTAACATTTACCTGTGTCTCAGGTATTGCACCTCGATTGTTAACACAAAGGAAGGCAAACTCTATTGCACACATTTGCAGCAGCTATACTTGGAGTTACTCCAAACCAGAGACAACCCAAATGCCCACAGATGAGAGAGATGCGTGGTGCAACAACTTGTCTGTCCACAGAAAACAAACTGCTCAGCAATAAAATGAACAGTGCAGGTAAGAATCTTTAAAGAATCTCAAAACAAAGCTGGGCACCAGTGGCTCACGCCTGTCATCCTAGCTATTCAGAGGCTGAGATCTGAGGACCCGAGATTCAAAGCCAGCCGAGCTAGGGAACTTCTTGAGACTTTTATCTCCAATAAACCACTCAGAAAACCGGAAGTAGTGCTGTGGCTCAAGTGGTAGAGTGCTCACCTTGAGCTGAAGAGCTGAGGGACAGCACCCAGGCCCAGAGTTCAAGCCCCATGACTGACACACACACACAACTCAAAACAAGTAGGTTCTCATAATAAATTAGGAAAAAATAAACACTTGGTGAAACAAATTGCCTAAAATCCCAGGAATACAGTCTGTTACATAAATGAATGTAAATCAGTGATTGCCTGAAGGCCAGGAATGTGAGAGAGAGACTAGAGAAGGACGTGAACTACCAATGTGTTCATTGTCTTAATGAGCTTAGTAATACTAGGAAACCTAGCAATATTAACTCCATGTCTTTATTGATGCCCTTGACTGAGTGGCAGCATGTGAGGTTCCTTCCCACTCAGGATGAAGGCTGGGTCATAAGGCTACATCACTGAAGAAGGGATCTCTCTCCTCTACGTTTCCCTTCCTGGCCTGTCAGGCAGCTGGTGATCCTCAGATCTCAGCCTTCAATAGACCTCTAGTAAGATTTCTGGAATGGAATACACAAAACTTTTACCTTTTTTTTTTTTTTTGGTCGGTCGTGGGGCCTGAACTCTGGGCCTGGGCGCTGTCCCTCAGCTCTTCAGCTCAAGGCTAGCGCTCTACCACTTGAGCTACAGTGCCACTTCGGGTTTTCTGGTGGTTTATTGGAGATAGGAGTCTCATGGTCTCTCCTGCCCGGGCTGGCTTTGAACCGCGATCCTCAGATCTCAGCCTCCTGAGTAGCTAGGATTACAGGTGTGAGCCACCAGCGCCCGGCTTTAGCTTAATTTTTTTGACAATGATCTCTACAGAACATCCCATCGCTGGAGATGCTGAGAGCTTTTGCCCACATGGGTCTTGTGCAGTCACATTTTTACAAGGTACAAATGTCCTTTAATTCTGAAGTTTCCCCTCTTCCCCATCAATGAGATATTTCTGTACCAACTGTAGCTCCCTCTGGCGGCTGTAATCTTACATGCTGAATCTGTACTGAGCATGGGTATTGGTACTCAGTACCTCTGCAGGACCTCAAGCAAAGAAGCATGAGGAACCAGCTCATGGTTCTCCAAAGCCCTGGTCCTCACAATGTCCTGCTCCTTAAGGTGCCTCAGAGCCCACAAAAGATTCTGATTCACCACTCAGGGCCATCAGAGCCTGCAGTCATTCCCAGGGGGACCAGGGCTACACACTCCCACTGTACCACTGTCTCTGAGACAGAAGTTACCTGGATCTCCTGCCCCAACACTGAATGCCACTTGCTATGCGATGCTGGCAGGGCCCAGTTCTGTTCTCAAACCATCTCACAGCGAACAGAATCCCAAGATCACAGACAGGTAGCTTAAATAGAAATTTTATTATTACAAAAACCGGGGCTGGGAAGGTGGCTCCTTGGTAGAGTGTTTGCCTTGCATGCATGAGGCCCTGGGTTTGATTCCTCAGCACCACATAAGCAAAAAGAAAAAAGCTGGCTCAAGTGGTAGAGCGCTAGCCTTGAGCTGAAAAGCTGAGGGACAGTGCCCACGCCCAGAGTTCAGGCCCCACGACTGGACACCCAAAAAAACACAAAACACAAAAAACTAAGAGACCAGCTGGGCGCCAGTGGCTCACACCTGTAATCCTAGCTACTCGGGAGGCTGAGATCTGAGGATCTTGGTTCAAAGCCAACTCGGGAAATGGTGCTGTGGCTCAAGCGGTAGAGCGCTCACCTTGAGCTGAAGAGTGCAGGGACAGCGCCCAAGCGCAGAGTTCAAGCCCCACAACCAAGAAAAACAAAAACAGAAAAAACAAAGCCAGCCCGGACAGGAAAGACTGTGAGACTCCTATCTCCAATAAACCACTAGAAAACCGGAAGTGGCACTGTAGCTCAAGTAGTAGAGTGCTCGCCTTGAGTTGAAGAGCTGAGGGACAGTGTCCAAGCCTAGAGTTCAAGCTCCACAACTGACAAAAAAAAAACCCAAAAACAAAAACAACTAAGAGACCTTGAGTTAAGCAATTTCCAGTCAGTGACTTGGAGACTGTCCTGAGACTAACAAGTTCATGAAATCAATTCTGGCTAGGCTGCCCCCACATACTTCCTCTGGGGTCACAGGTATCAGACTGGGTCAAGTTCATGTCCTATTTCATGAATGGGATTGCATGATGGTCAGCAAGCGGCAAAAAGGCAGGTCATTTTCCCCGACATGTGACAGTGATGATGTCACACTGTGTGCCCTTGGTGGAGATGGCAGTAAAATGGCTCTGCCTAGAATGGCAAGGGACTGCACAGGTTAGAAGGGGCAACCTCTTCTTAAAGCCTCTGAGTGCCTGGAACTTCAGTCTGGGGTGGGCGGTTCTCCCACATGGTCTCATCTGGCGTTATGACACTAGGAAAGCTAATGCTTTACTCCAGTGTGGACTCTCCGGCATTGAGTGAGGACAGACCTGCAGGCGAAGCCTTTCCCACAGTCACAGCGCTGGTAGGGCTTTTGAGTGTCCAGCTGCCGGTGCTGAATAAGGCTGGAGCTCTGGCTGAAGCACTTTCCGCAGTCAGTGCACTGGTAAGGCCTTTCTCCAGTGTGAATCCTCAGGTGTTTGATAAGGTTAGATTTGCAGCTAAAAGACTTTCCACACTCCCTGCACTCCATGGGCCTTTCCTCAGTGTGAACTCTCTGGTGGGTCTTAAGGTTAGAGCTATGGCTGAAGGACTTCCCTCATTCCCTACACGCATAGGGCTTTTTCCCCATGTGGACTTTCCAATGCGAACTGAAGCTGGAGCTTTGCTTAAAAGACTTCCCACATTTACTGCACTGCGATGTGGAGTCTCTGGTGGTGGATGAGGCTGGAGTTGCGGCTAAAGGCTTTTCCACACTCACAGCACTGATGAGGCCTTTCTCCAGTGTGGATGCGCTGGTGGTAGATGAGCCTAAAGTTTTGGCTAAAGGACTTCCCACATCCTCTGCACTCGTAAGGCCTTTCTCCAGCATGGTTGGTGCTGAATGAGGTTGGATCTTTGGTAAAGAATTTCCCACATTCTCTGCACTTGTAACGTCTTTCTCCAATGTGAACTTTCTGGTGGCTGTTGAGGCTGTAGATCTGACCGAAGCCACTTCCCACACTCACTTCACGAGTAAGGCCTCTCTCCAGTGTGGACTCTCCAGTGTATCACGAAGCTGGAGTAGTAGGTAAAACACTTTCCACACTCGCTGTAAGGCCTGACCTCACTGTGCACTTTCTGGTGCTGGATGAGGTTACACCTTCATGTACAGGCTTTTCCACACTTGTGGCACTCAAAAAGCCCTTCCCTGATGAGGACTCTCTGGTCCTGAACAAGTGTGCTGATGTGGCTGAAAGCTTTCTTACATTTTCCCCAGCATGATGACTTTTCCACTGTGCAAGGCCACCCCACACTTGTCACCACTGGTTGGGTTCTTTCCTGTGGGACAGTCTTGTTGATGAGGGAACACCACACTGGGTGAGAAGCCCTTGGCAATTTCTTTGCAGGTGAAAGGTTTCCCTGACACGCGGATTGTACATGAGTCTATCCACACAGCTTCCGAATGGCAGCTCTCTGACATGCTGCTGGTGATGCTGTAACCCTGCTGTGAGGTATGGCTGTGCCTTGTATGTGTACGGCTTCTTCCTGCTGTGTGTCCCATGGTGCTGAGCCGAGTGAAAAATACCTCTCAAGGGCTGGGAAGGTGGCTCAGTGGTAGAGCGCTTGCCTTGCATGCCTGAGGCCCTGGGTTCGATTCCCCAGCACCACATAAGCAAAAAGAAAAAAGCCAGAAGTGGCGCTATGGCCCAAGTGGTAGAGTGCTACCCTTGAGCTGAAGAGCTGAGGGACAGCGCCCAGGCCAAGAGTTCAGGCCCCACGACCGGACCCAAAAAAAAAAAATACCTCTCAAGATGGGGCCATGGACTTCAGAGGAGCACTCATTCTGGAGAGCTGAACCTGGAGAGCAGGTCCCGGACCTGCGACAATGCCACAGATATGCTTGGCTCAGAAGGTGTCCCGTCATGCTTCACTTCTAAGGAGCGACCTGGAAACAGGAGCAACAGTTACCTATATGTTGCTTTCATTAGTGAGAGAAAACAGAATCTCACATGGACACTTGGTAGAGAAAAGAAGCAGACCATAGGGCCATTTGTCACAAAAGAGTTGAGGTCAGGTTGAAACACAGCTAACCTGTAGTACCAGGCCCCCAAAGTCACAAGCAGAGTAAATCTTCCCCAGGAAAGGACACAGGAGTAAGGTGTGGCTGCTATAACCATATGATTTTCAACAAAGACATTCAAAATATAATATGGAGCCCAGCACCAGTGGTTCATGCTTGTAATCCTAGTTACTCAGGAGACTGAGAACTGAGAATTACAGTTGAAAGTCAGCCCAGGCAGGAAAGTCTGTGTGGCTCTTATCTCCAATTAATCACCAAATAAGCTGGAAGTGGAGTCAGAGAACTGGTGGACACAAGTCTCAAAGACCAGCAGCCCCAAATGCAGCTAGCACAAAGGTTGTATGGGCCAAAATCATACAAGGTGTATGGAATCAAACCCAACAAAAGTGTAATACATGAGCAAAGCGAACCAAATAAGGACACTTAAACCTAAGAGAACAGAAAACCATCTAGGGAAACATGTAGGGAAAGCCAGCCTGAGCAAGAAAGTTCATGAGACACTTATCTCCAATTAGCCACCAGAAAACTGGAAGTGGTGATGTGGCAAAAGTGACAGAATGCTAGCCTTGAGTGAAAAAGCCCAGGGAGGGCTGGGAATATGGCTCAGTGGTAGAGCGCTTGCCTTGCATGCATGAGACCCTGGGTTTGATTCCTCAGCACCACATAAGCAAAAAGAAAAAAGCCTGAAGTGGCGCTGTGGCTCAAGTGGTAGAGCGCTAGCCTTGAGCTGAAGAGCTGAGGGACAGCACCCAGGCCCAGAGTTCAGGCCCCACGACCAGACCCCCCCCCAAAAAAAGCCCAGGGACAGCATGCAGACCCTGAATTCAAGCCCCACAACTGTCACCCCCCCAAAAAAAAAGATACAGCAAGAAATATTCAACATCTTTGGTCATAAAAGGAATGCAAATCAAAACCACCCCAATACTGCATTTAACCCCAGTCAGAATGGCAGCCATTAAAACAAAACAAAACAAAAACCAAGGGGCTGGGAAGATGGCTCAGTGGTAGAGTGCTTGTCTTGCATGCATGAGGCCCTTGGTTCGATTCCCCAGCACCACATAAGCAGAAAAAGCCAGAAGTGGTCCTGTGGCTCAAGTGGTAGAGTGCTGGCCTTGAGCTGAAGAGCTGAGGGACAGCGTCCAGGCCCAGAGTTCAGGCCACACCACTAGCAAAAACAAAACAAAACAACAAAAAAAACACACCACCAACAAATGCTGGAAAGGATGTGGGGAAAGAGGAAACTTTATAAACTGTGGGTGGGAGTGAAAATCATGGAAGGTCCTCAAGAAACAAACTATAGGGGCTGGGAAGGTGGCTCAGTGGTAGAGCGCTTGCCTTGCATGCATGAGGCCCTGGGTTCGATTCTTCAGCACCACATAAGCAAAAATAAAAAATAGCTAGAAGTGGCTGGCGCTGTGGCCCAGGTGGTAGAGCACTAACCTTGACCTGAAGAGCTGAGGGACAGTGCCCAGGGCCAGAGTTCAGGCCCTACGACTGGACCAAAAAAAAAGAAACAAACTATAGGCCTAGCATATGATCCTGGACATAGAGAAAGAATGCAAACCAGCACACAGTGGCCACACCTGCATGCTATGTATGCTATCGAACTGTGGTATCGGCCCAACTGTCATGTTCTCCCCTCGGCCAGGCCCTCTCTGAACCCATTTCAGCCAGCAGGCAGGAGTTCTGAGCACTCTGCCCATCCCAGAGGTCCTTTCTAGGTGAGAACCGGGAACTTACCCAGGGACGACATGCGGGCCAGGTTCTCCAACATCACAGAGAAGTACAGGTGTCTCTGAGCCTCATCAAGAAGATTCCACTCCTCCCAAGAGAAGGACATGGTCACATCTTCGAAGGACACGCTGTCCTGGCAAGGCAGGGGCTGCTGAGAGCACGAACTGCTATACTTTGGGAGGTCCACAATCCATATCCCACACAGCGACCCCCCCAAGGCCACCCTCCTCTGGGGCTCCCGAACTCTGAGGAGACATCAGACCCTGGTCCCTGCTCAATCCTTCTGTTCGCCGCCGTCTTCACTCACGTGGTTTTCCTTTCTGCAACCCAACAACTGGTTAACACCTGGGCAGACCGCCTCCCACTTCGGATCTAAAATTCTAAGTGTTACGGGGTTCTCCATCCCAAGGTCGAGGAGTCCCGGCCACTATAGACCTTGGGAGAACGTGGGTGGGCAGTGACGGGCTGGGCCGCTCTCCACGTACCACCACGGGTTCCAACGGCACTTCCGCAGCCATGGGGCCCCGCGGGGATGGGCAGCCCACGGGGGACGGGGAACACGGGGGCCTCTGCTCCCCAGGGCCGTCCTTGCCCTGCTCTGTCCCGGTAATATCGGGCGCCTGTCCAACCTCCATGCGACCTCCGGCTCGCCGTGCAAGGCGCATCCACCGCGCCTCGACTCGGATCTGCTTCCACCGGACGAACTCCAGGCCCGGTCTCGGATGGTGTCCCTCTCTTGTTCGGAATTCTCGGCGGTCCACGGGTCCGAGTGCTCGGCTGACCACGGCAGGTCTGCATCCACCTCGCCGCGGTCCCCGCCAAGTCCAGGGGCTCAGCCGGCTCCCCGAACCTCCGCCCGCCCCGCGCCCCGGGACCCAGACCTCGGAAAGAGGGTACCGCCCACAGGCGCCGGTGGGGCTGGGACCGACCTCGGTGGGGCCTGGGGCTGGCCACAGCCGACCTCCCCGGAGCTGCCTCAGGGTCCGAAACCGGCCGTCAGTCAGCTCGCTCTCGACGCTGCAAACCGAGGGAGAGCGGACCCCGGGGCGGGCGAAGATGACGTCCCCGAAGGCGCCGGAGACCCCGCCCTACCTGCTCTCCACGCTGCAAACCGAGAGACGTCAGAGCGACGACTCCGGGGCCGGCGAAGATGACGTTGCCGGAGGCGCCGGAAGTCCCGCTCCGGAACCGCGCGCCCACGGGGGCGTACCAGCCCAGGCTGGCTTTGAACTGCTGTCCTCGGAGTTCAGCCTCCTGAGTCGCTCGGGTGACCGTCGCGAGCCACCGGCACCTGGCGAAATGAATTTATTTAAAAAAGAAGATACGCTGACAAAAGCAGCGGCAAGCAAGCAGACAAGCCGGCAGTAACCTCTGGGAATCTCGTGAGGCCTGAAGGGAACTCCCGGGGCTTCCGGCCGGGGTTTCGCCCCAGCCGCCATTCCGAACCAGCCAGCCCCGCGGCTCCCTCGAGGAGGCAGCGGAGGCTCGGCGGTGCTGGCCTTGCCGTCTCACATTCTTTAATTTCTTTATTGAGAGTAAGCGATGACACATTTTACAGTCGTGGGACAGTGATCCTTAGTTAACGTCACAAATACACTTTACCTTCACAAGGCGAATTGTCATGATCACGGTCGACAGCGCTTACAACGAACCACCATATGTTCTCGACGCTGATGTTCCTCCCCGCCCCCCTGACTCCCCTCCCCCCCTGCCCGCGCCGTGCGAACTGGTGTTGACCAGAATCTCCCACCATTGTGGAGAACACAGACTGGGCCCCGAGAATCCATTAAGAAACATCGATTTTCCTCACTCTGCTGGTGAAGAACTGGGAGATGCGGGTATCGGTGAGGATGAGCACGAAGGGGCTGAGTGCAGGGAAACACGAGGCCACGAGCACAGAGGTGTTCACCACCCACTGGCCACGGTGCCCAACCAGAGTGGTCCAAACGGTCAGAAAGGCGTAGGAAGCGTAAAAGGTGACGAAGGAACAGGCCAGGATGAGGATGGTGCGCATGGCTCTGATCTCATGGTGGTGCCTGCGAGTCAGGCTGTGAATGTGCCGCAGCCTCTGTCTGTGTCTGTGCAGGACGAGCACCATGGAGCTGCTGGCCCAGATCATGAAACTCAAACTCATCAAATCAGGTGAGAAATATAAGAGTGTGTAGAGCGAGCTGTATCTCTCTGGCATATCCCAGGAACAGTAACCATGCTGCGTTCCCATGCTGAGATTGTTCTTGCTCAAAGGACCATGTATGATTAAATGAAGGAAGGAATTTATCAGGAGGTGGAGGGTCCAGCTTAGAAAACAGCAGGACCCAATGAACTTTAGAGATCTAATCTTGAATGCAATCCATCTGCAAATACTTGGGTTAAGTTTAATGGCCTGGAAGCCATTGAAGAGGCAGACCGTGGTGAAGGACACACCTGTGCCCACTCTGTAGAAGTAGAAGACAAGTTTACATCTCCTATCATCCAGGACATAGTTCCATCCCAAAGTAGTTATCGTCTGAGTTATGCCTTTAGAGGAAAGAACCATAGAGTTGGCCAACACCAACTGATTGAGAATCAGATCTTTGGGTCTGGAGAAATGTCTGGAGAGCAAAATGAAGCTGTACAGACAGAGGAGAGAGACATTTCCCACAAGGCCAATTGCTGTCTGAGTGAAGAAGACAATCCCAATATCCAGGCTGGCAGGAGACATCACAGCAATAACAAGAGCACACTGCATTCAGAGGAACACAGAGTTGAACACATGACAAATGACATATCACCTGTTAGTCCATAAGCCTCCTCCCTCATAGCTTAACATGCTCTTTCCCTAGGCAACACTAGGCCCATGTAGTAAAGGCAGCCAATGATCAGTCCCTACCCCCTTTCCCTGAGAGATCACCCCTGTGGGATAGCTATGACCATATAAGGCAACATGATCCCCCATATCCCAGAGGTTATAAAAGACTACCCAAGACAATGGCCAGCACTTCTCACTTCCTGTCACCTGGTGAGAAGGATCTTGCGGTCCCTTTACTGACTATACCCGGATGTCCCTGTGGTTTTCTGGCAAAGTCTAACACTGCCACTGTTATGTCTCTCAATTTTCAATATTTAGTCCATACAATGTATTCTCACTTTGAACAGACAGGGGATCCTGGCTCATGCACACAAAGACAACTGCAGAGATGGGTGAAGACAGTTGTGATCATGACATGGGTGGTTTTCTACCAAGCAAGCCTCATGGAAACAAAAATCCAGCGCCTCTGCAGAGCATTTCCTTTCTTAAAATGTCAGGATCTACACAGAAGTGCAGAAGTTTAATAGGTCAAAAGCATAGATAGGTGGAATTCATAAACTTATCTGATGTTAGAGGCTTGCAGCTGTGATCCCAGCTACTCAGGAGACTGAGTTCTGAGAGTTGAGGTTCAAATCCATCCCAGGCAGAAAGTCTGTGAGACTCTTACGTCAAATTAACACCAGAAAACCAGAAGTGAAACTGTGGCTCAAAGTGGTGGTAGAGCACTGGCCTTGAGCAAAAAAGCTCAGGGACAGTGCCCAGGTCTCAAGTTCAAGCCCCATGTCCAGTTAAAAAAATGAAGTAAAAATAAAAAAGTTATCTGATTTATAGTTTGGAGAGTACAAATATCAATATTTCATATAGTTTTGAGAATAATTGAATTAGATGTTCAAGTGCAATATATCTGATATTCATTTAGTTTAGATTAAAATTTTATTAATTTTAAAATCAAAATTATTTAGATCATTAAAATTCACTTAAAGCTGGGCATCGGTCCTCACACCTGTAAACCTAGCTATTCAGGAGGCTGAGATCTGAGGATCGTGGTTCAAAGCCAGCCTGGGCCGGGCAGAAAAGTCCATGAGACTCTTATCTCCAATTAACCACCAGAAAACCACAAGTCATTCTGTGGCTCAAGTGGTAAAGCGCTAGCCTTGAGCTGAAAAGCTGAGGGACAGCATCCAGGCCCAGAATTCAAGCCCCACAACCGAAAAAAAAAACTCAATTATGTCACCATGGCTCTCTATGTGTAACCTACCAGAAATAGTTCAGTAACACTTAAAACAGACATATATGAATGAATGCAAAAGTAGCCAAAGAGAAATATGAAGTAGTTGTTGTTATTTGTATTTTCCAATTACAATCATTTGTAGTTTTTATATACCAAACATTAAAATAATTGGCAAACAATTTTGGGCATGACACAGAAATAAGTGTGACTAACATTTCCATTCCTTAACACTGTGTAATTTCAGAGGAAGCAATGCATGAAACATGTAATTTCAAAACATGTCTGCATTTCCTACATCTCATCAACAAAGCAGACTGGACATTGTGAACAACTCCAAAGCCCTATCTCAAGAAACCAGCACTGTGACACAGAACATCTGTGAAGAAATGCTAAGGGATGGGAGGTAGGAATGTGCTGTTGCGTCCCTAAAATGTCTTCTCAAGGGTACCCTGACCACTGGGGCGTGTGAAGCGTGAGCAGCGTCTCCAGGGTGGCTCTGGGAGTGCTGGGTGGGAGGGATGCACAGCCACGGTAGGAGTGCCAACTCCTCTCTGCTGCACTTCAGGCACACACAGAATTTGGCACCTTAGCATGGTCACTTCCAGGGGTCACTTGGGATGGAGGACACATAATGATAACAGTTAGAATAGATGTGGAAGAATGAAAGCAGGGGCTGGGAATGTGGTTCAGTGGTAGAGCGCTTGCCTTGCATGCCTGAGGCTCAGGGTTCGATTCCTCAGCACCACATAAGCAAAAAGAAAAAAGCTGGAAGTGACACTGTGGCTCAAGTGGTAGAGTGCTAGTCTTGAGCTGAAGAGCTGAGGGACAGCGCCCAGACCAGACCCCCCCTCAAAAAAAAATGAAAGCAGCGGAGTGAACTAAATGAAGGAAGAACAGGACCAACTTGGGAGACCAGGACTGAAAGGAATTTACACAATATACACTATGGTCGGCGCAGGGGAGCAGGAATTGCCCCTCACAAACCCAGGTCTGTGGGAGGAGCCTGTGAGGCTGAGGGGTGTGGTGGGTTTTTCCCATTCAGACTTAAAGTCTTCAGTAATTCAGAAAGCAGGGAAGAGTCACCGTGTCTCCAGATCTACATAGACACATGATGATCTAGGTCAACACTCTGAGCTCTGTGTGTGTGTGTGTAGTTTGTTTTAGTCCCAAGCCAGATTTAGGTCTCTGTTTCTGGGATGAGCCCTTCCTATAACCTGATGCCACCTGCAGGGGGTCAGCTCTTACCTGAGGCGCAGCTGAGGTGTGTGTGGGGGGCTCTGAGTCCTGAGCCGCTGGGGTCTGCGGGATCTTCACTGAGCCCAGGTGGTGGGGAGCTCTGAGTCCTGAACTCTGCAGGGTCTCTCCTGGTATCTTGCAGCACTCATTTCTGGGGTTCGCTGGAGCCGCAGCAGTGGCCTTTTCTGAGGAACTCGGTTCTGCACAGTGACATTGTAGATGGATCGTAGAGCATCAGCAAGAGCCAGTGAGGGAGATTTCTATGATTAATCAGACCTCACTTGCTCCTTGACATTAAATCTTAAGACTTTTACCTTTGAAACTTCCAAAAAGCCCAGTCCTGAAGAAATCATATAAGCCAAATCTGGCAATGTCCCATG